CATTGAGGTGTGTGTGTGTGTGTCTATCTTTGTCAACATGTTCAAGATTTTGTAAGAATTCTGGTCAAATATTGCTTTGTGTTAGTAATGACCGATGTTTCGATGATATTATTACGTATTAAAATATTTCTATGATAGTATTCCACCTAAAAATGTTCTTTAATTCACAATAAATTAATTCTTACAAAATATGTATTTTGTTACTTGACAAATATATACACAGTTCGGATAATTAGTCCCTTAACAAATAAGGGAATATCTATGGGTTGTAGTTGTACTTTCAACCCTCGAGTTGCAGATGTATGTTTTTTCGAACGAATCTTAGTAAGACTATAACAAAGCCTTGAACATTAATCGTGTTTGTGGATAGATTGAGGATGTGCTTGTGGATATATTGAGGATGTTCTTTTAGCAAATTTCTTGACACTACTAAAATACATTCACCCACCATTATATATTCTGTGAAAGTTATATTTCACTACAAATAAAGCGCATTACCTGCCTTAGACTTCAATTAGATATAAGCAACGCTAACCAAACGTTGATCTTCAAATCCGATTCGAAACCTTCAATAATACAGATTTCTTAAATTGTTAAATTATAAGTTTTTGATCATAAGTATTCCAAATGAATAACTATATTCTTTAAAACTTACCGTATATTACACACAACAGACTTTGTTCAACATTACAAAATTCCATAGTCTTTGTTATGGAGAAATATTTATTGTGTACACTAGAGTCACGCTTTTCAACTGACATTAAATCAATGATAGAGCATGAACCAAACACTAGTTTTGATGTGTTTTATAAGTAGGCTATAGTCTATTCTTCCTTTAATGATAGCTTCATTAACAGTATTGACTAAAATATTTAATATATATATATATATAATATTTATTTTTATTTAATTCTTGTGACTTTTATTTATGCGTTTTAATATCTATATATAGGATTAAGAATATTTTGGATTGTCAGATTGGTATTTCGATATAGGTGATTAACCGAAATCTCTTACAGTGATCGAACCTCGTAAGATAATTTGGGAATTATGGTCGAAAATGTCGTTAACAGCGAGGGAAGGTACCCAACTGATGAATCATGAATTCTAATCATTATAATAAGTTTTTGTTTTAAGCTTTAGCATACACTTAGTTGGAACGGTCTATTAAATTAGGTTTATAGATTGGGGGGGGGGGTAATATTTAGCTTTGATTTTTGGGAGCTTGCTTTGATCAGATATATATCATTGACACTAACTTTAATTTTCTCTTCAACAGAATGTATTTTAGTTTTCAACAAAGTTGTTGCTTTATTGAATATGTCACCTATCAATTCTGTCCATTTAAGTATGATACTTTAACTTTATTTAGCATTATCTTTCAGAAATAAGTTACTGAAATGCTCATTACATTTTGAATTATTTTGACTAGTCATTAAAACAAAGAACATGGTGGATCCTCATGAAAAATGAACAAAGCATTTTATTAAAGAGAAAAACGGAAAATATCATAACTTCAATACGAATGTAACAATATGAATTTACGCCGCATTTTGGCGTCTTTTGTTTATTCAATATCCAAATATCGAGTTTAATACTACTAACATATTACATTCCCCTTTTTACCGACGTTCAAAACCGTATAACTTTAAAGGTTTTCAAATAAACTTTCATCTCTTATCCATCAGTCTAGTTGATGAATTTTTATATTGAACGAAATCCACTTTCTGTACAATGACTTGTAGAAGCCAAAACAAAAAGATGAGTCTAAAACGACATCTATCGTTCGGAATACGTAATGGGTGAACGAAAAGGAATGTATGACAAAAAAACAACATTTGCAGTCTGAAGCGAGACTAATGACTTACAATCTTATTAAAACATACAAAAGTTATTTGCAGTACCAGTTATTATCATCATCTGTAAGTCATATTTTAGTTATAGAACAAATGCTACAAATTAAATTTGAAAAAGGGAGTAAATGTCATCTGATTATGTGAAATTTGATTATTTAGGATCCTCTTTTTTCTAACACTCATCAATCTAACAATTAGCGCACGATGTTTTTACATAGTAGTTTAACAAAGCTTATCAAATTTACTATTACAAATTCTGAATATTGTGTGAAAATATTGTTCGTTCTTCTCTCGGAATCGGCAGGCTATGTGTAAATCAATATAAATAATTTACCCCTGATGAAGGAAGGAAAGTCTATCTTTCGAGATCGCTCTGGTTATCAGTTTTTGTGAAGTGATTTGTGTATGTATTTTTTTTTTCATTTTTATCATCATGATTAAGTATATTAATATTTATTACATTCTGAAATTACATCATTACTTAATCCATTAAGATATCAGATTTGTTTGTAAATAATGATGCTTGCTGATGTCTAATATTGACTTGATTTACACCGTCACCTAAAATCCAATGTTGCAAGATTACTGTTTTCGTTTGATTAATTTTGAAACAAGTTAAACATGTTGAAACTTAACAAAGAAAGTCATAAGCTTCATTTTTTTTTCAACATATTAAAGTTTTGTTATTAAGCGCAAGGCTATATATGCAATGAGCTATCTATGCTGTGCTCACCACGGGTATCGAAACCCGGTTTTTAGTATTATAAATCTCCAGACTTATCGCCGAGTCAATGGGGGCATACGTTGAAGTAACAAAAGCAGTTTAAAGTTGTTTAATATTTACTACTTTAATTGTACACGTTGTAAGTAATGAATATAGAAGTTAGGAAGAACATAATTATGTTTTGATTTTCGTCCTAAATTTTCTAAAAACTTGTTACGTGTGTACTATAAAAACATATACTTTGCCTAATATTGGAAGGTTCGCTTAATAGGCTCTAAAATCATGCTACCACCAGTCATTTAGAAATTTGATTATACTGTAAAATGTCTATAAAATATATAAATGTGTGTTTTGCACGACAAAGAAAATTTGCATTTATTATTCAGCATATTTCCGAGGATGACGTTTACATGACTTTAGGCCTGTGATACGAAAACCCACTGTGAAGCAAAACGTATTTGGTCATGAAAATGTTGCTTCCCTAAAACCTATCGACTCAGGCGACAGAATATATATATTTTTTAAATGTTCCAGACATCGATCATGTTCCAGATGTAACAACCTAACTCATTTTTCCATAAGTGATGGTTGCTATATTACCTTAGTTTTTAAGGGTAATAAGACACCAACAGCTAAGTTGAAGTTTCTTTGATATAAACAAAATCCGTGTAATTACGTCACGAAAAAGAAAACTGGAGAGTAAAGATCGAAAGAAGACATATCTAATGAACAGAATTCGGTGGTTCATTAACTCAAATTATTAAACACTTGGCCACTTTTTTCTGATTCCACGTTAGGAGCTTCGAACTCCAAATCTTTGAAATAGTCTGATGACATATTCGAGACCAATATTTTATATTTAGAACCAGTAGCTAAGAAATATTAAAGTATCACAAAGAAAGATATTAGTTTCATAAATCAACATATTCTTTCTTTCATCTTTTTGTACCTAACATCGCAAACTGCACAGGTATCTAACTGAGCCAATTAAAAATAATATTGCATTATAAGATAAATATATTATTACAGCGTAGGTGGTTTGTTTGGTTTAGCGTAAAACTACACGATAGACTATCTGCGCTCTGTCCACCGCGAAGATCGAACCCCAGATTTTAGTGATGAAAGTCTGTAAGCTTATCACAGATCCACCGAGGGAGTACACCATAAATATTGTCAAGTTAGAATCAAGTATTACTGCCAAATTGGAAATAGTAATTTGAAAAGAAAGTAACTCAAACGTTAAGGAAAGTTAATAAAATGAAAAACAATAAACGTTTAATTGCTAGAAAGATGATTTTTTGTACTAGTTACAAATATGTTTCACTAAACATCAATCACAACTACTATTTATAACTGATATATTGAATTGAGCCAATTAAATGTACTGAGGAGTTGATACTTAGCCGCTGTTTTATAACAACGATTCCCGGGAAGGGTGTGTCTCCAGATAATAAAACATAAAGAAACAGCTGAAAAGCAGTTTCAAGTTATCTCAGCAACACTGTTTATTAAATATTTATTTGAAACCCGAGGTTGAAGCAACAGAATACCAACGGTGTCTGTTCGTAACGACTGGAAATGAAGTTCCCGCTTCTCAGATTTCTAGACGAACTTTGTTAGGGCGATTTCTTTGAAAATCATTATCGTTAAATCTGTATCTAATGCTTATTTTCATTTAGTCCAGTTAATTAATGGCTATTTAGGTTACGTGTTAGCTAACATAACTTTTTACTCTCCAATTCAAGTAGTAAAGATAAAATTACACATTATGTTATACGTATTTTAGTATACTCTGTAAAGGCCTAGCATGGCCTGTTGGTTAAGGTGCTCGACTCGCAATCTAAGTGTCGAGGTTCGATTCTGGTTAAAAAGAATTAATTGAATAAAAAGTTTTATTTTAATACAAAAGCATTTCATTTTATTTTAGTAAAAAAGCTGATTTGAGATTTAATCTATATAAATGCTGATTATCAATAGATTTATCAGAATCAAATGATAAAAATAAAAAGAACTATATTAATGAAACTTTTATTTCATGAAAAACAATTTACTTATATGTAAAACCTTATTTGAAATCAAAATTTTATTTTTCTTGCTTTACAACTTGCGAAATCGGTAATTAAGGCTGAGTAATCGAACAATGATGTTACATAGGTTTCAACTGAAATCATAGTGTTACGACAGTGGAAGTCACGTGACCCTGGTAACACGTAATGAGTCTCTAGAAGGATCGGGGAAAATCACGAATAATCCAGTATTTGCTAGATACCCTCTATTCCTGTATATAAGCAGGCAAATAAAGCAAGATAATTAATTGAATTGCAGA